AAAAAAAATGTGCCCAAACATAAGCCCAGATTCTCTGTGCACGCTAACGCTCTCTTACAACTTTGGATGTCTATGGAAAGAGTTAAGATAAAAGCAACGTGCATATTTCGTTACGATAAATAAAATTGACATTTTTGCAAAGCAGACATTCTATAATTTTACTCAAGCTCTCTCATATGTAACAATCTTCTCCGTTTAATTGGGTTAATCTACTGTTTCTGTTAATCCAAAACGTGAGTACACTTGGTTTTACAACAGCTCTCAGTGTCCTATCACACTTTTCGGCAACTAAGATGAGGACCCAGTAAGGACCCCAAAGCTTTTGCTAGCTTTTTCCTTTCTGACACATTATACTAGTGCTAGTTCCTGATCTCATCTTTACCTCGCTCTGAACTGGTCGGGCTCTTAACATTGTATAGGTTCTATGAAAAAAGATAAATGACAACGTTTGGTTTCTGCAATTTCGAATATGTAAGTCATAGAAATCACCTTCATCGAAGCAAACGTTCGTGTAAAAAATAACTGACGCGGTTATGACTCATTGAGCTGTGATAAGTGGATACAGTCTGTTAGTTAATGCGCTCTTCGATCACCTCTTAAATCTGCGAGAAGCACATATGCAGGCAAGGTGTGCGAATAACTATGTATTGAGTAAGATCAGAAAATTCGAATAGCGCCAATATCACTAGTCATGCCGCTTCATCGTATTCACTCTCCTTTTGCTTGAGAAACGTCGGGAGCAAGTAGCATGTATATCCTACTAGAATCTAAAGCACTTGGTATTAGCTGTAGGCATCTCACGACGTTGCTGAGCTGTCAGGCTACCCATCTGTAGAAAAAGTAGAGGCACACTTTTAGATAGTTCACATGCCATGCATGAAAATAACATATGCGTTAATTGCTTTTTATAAATATATTATTTTTTGATAAATAATTCTTTCAACCTGTAGCTATGCTGAATCATCAAAACAATGCTTCTATGTTAGGATCTCTTGTTTCAAGTTTATGACGTAATAAGTGACGTATTGTGTGCAAATTAGCAAGGACATAAAGATAGAAATGTTATTTTTAAAGGAAAAATAAGTGTTTTCTAATCAATGCCGAAGGCGACATTGTTCTCTTCTTACCGTTGTCACCCCAGGTGCTGATAAGGTGGAATTTGTTCTACAAGAAACCAACGTCGACTTGCTTGTAGGATCAGAATTTCAAGGAGGCATTCAAACATTTAAATCAATCTGAACCATAAATTTGTGCAAACTATTAAGCCCATCTGAGATGATATATGGCAGTAGTGATGTTCTTGTTTACTGATCTCAGCCACGTAATAACGTGCAATAAAGTCTTAAGACCTGCAAGCTGCAATTGTATAGGCGTATCCAAATTTCTGGGTCCACTGCATAAATGATCTGTACGAGCCATGTAGATCGTTTAAAATCTGCAGTGTAACTCGCCAGTCGCACAGAAAATTGCTGCAGAATGACTTATTAATTATTTATTAGTTTATTATGAATTATGTTATATCAAACCAATTATATATTAAATGATAGCGATACTTACAACTATAGCATTTCTTTCTCAATAAATCAAAATGCGAAAGTGAGTCTTTCCTCCCTTCATTCTACAGGACTTTCCCAATTCTTCTACGTATTCTTGCATTAATTATGCAATTTAAGAGATTGCATTGTTATTTGGAAAATGAAAACGATCATGCGCACGAATAGTGTCTTTCTAGATTGAATCACTTTAAGAGATAATCTAAAAGGTAAGCGTATGCACTTGAAAAATGATGAACAATAGCGATTGGCAGTTGTGAGACTATAGTACAGATGAGAAAGATGCAGTTTACTATCAGCAGATTTCATATTAATCAAAAAGTTTCAATTAAACATCTTTGATAGAAATTGTATCAATGCTTCAAGTATTTTCTTGTTAACCCAAATTTCAAATCGCAATCTAATACCTATTTTTAAGGAAAACAGCAGCGGTGTCGTACAACCAGCTCTTCAAGAAAGTGGATATTCCGGAGGTAAACCTGTTTTAAATGTGCTTGCAGTGCATTTTTGCTTGACTAATCAGCTTTAGAACCCAGAGAACTAATTGACTGGTCTGTGAATAACAATAAAGTGGACGAGTTTCCCAACGGTTACGATGGTATGGATCCATTCTAATCTTCTATGTTAAGTTAACAACAAATAAGAATAATAAGTTAGGGTGAATTGATTTTGCTAACATTTTTCAAGGTTTGTCTGCTCTTCCCTTACCGGCGGTATCTAACACAAGAGTGGTTGCTACTAATGAGATAATCGAGGAACAAACCACTCAGGAACCTACGACACAGGCTTCCATCTATACACTAACACCTCCATTCGCTCCACCGACTGTCTTGATTCGGACATCCTCCGTGTCTGTCACAGTTCCGCCTACCACTCCGGTTAATACAACCCCAAGACCTCTCACGCCTCCAACAATCCATCCATCGTGTGGCGTAACAGGTTGTTCA